TGTGAAATCTTGACAAGATTTATTCCTCAAATGAAGTACTAATATTTACGCGCTTTATTTTCATGTATTGACTGGGCAATCACTCCAATTTAGGGTTAAAACCACTTTTGTGTTCACGTCCCTCCTACTTAATAGCTAAATTTCATCACCGTTCTCAGAAACAGTCGTCTAGACAGGCAGATGAGTCAGTCACTCCTCAGCGATAGGATGAGCCTCGCTGACGTGCTGCCACTCCCTCACTCTCCTCCTCCCCCTCTCTTCACTCACTACTTTGCATTTGTCATGTCAGAGGGTGCGGTGAGCGGCTGGAGAATGAGTTTTCTGGGGATAACAACTTGGCTAATTTGTTTCTTAAGCTGTGGAAGTGTGAGGGAGTGAGTTGTCGTTTGTGATCTGATCAGATATCCCAGTGGGTACTTGCAGTTATTACTATATTATTCTCACATAATTATCCAACAGACTGCTAGAATTACGTGCTGCTAGTTCCAATTTTGTATTCATTGTGCTTTGCCACTGTATGCAATTCTCCATTTTTTAAGATTTTCGAACTTCCAAAGCAGTACTTCATGTCCGCAAATTCGCTGGGTCAATTTTTAATTTGAAGTGCTTTGAAATGAGAGAGCTTAGAGAATTGATTGTTCATTGCTGTGAAGTAAAAAGACTAATCGATATCTGTCCAAACGCGTTGATCGGCTGTTTTTTATTCATAGCAATAAAATTATGCGTTATTTCAGACAAACTGTGGGATGAAGCTAGTCAACCAAGAAATGATGCAAACATGGTTGGATCTGATAAGTAATGAGGATGGCTCTCGAAGTGCGAGAGCTGCAGCTGTTGGACCAATCAAGAAATGATGCAAACATGAATGGGGAGACCCGAGACAGCCTCTTCTCACCGTGAGAAATATTCTAGGTGAGTTGCAATTGACTCTGAATCACTAGGGAGTTGAAGACGGAGAAGAAATTTTTTAAATTTCATGTTAACAAGTTCATTCCATCAATAGACTTTGTTTTGAAAAATGAAAAATTCATGATATGACAAGACGAAATTGAATCACAATTTTCAGGAAATTACGGAGAGAAGTATGTGGCTAACAGGTCTCCCAACCTTAACAGATCAGAGCGAAATTGTGCGGATTGGCGATGACTTCGCTAATACCGGTATATTTTTAATAATCAAGGCAATTTATTAAATCAGTAGCTCTACTTGTTGATTTATGACTTCCAAATTTTAAATTATTTTTTATTTTAGCCTTTCGCTCGAATGTCATGTCAACAGTTGTAGAGGTGGCACATTCACGCTGCTCGAAAACAGAAATGGTAAGTGACGCTTATCTTCAATAAGCCAAAAATCTAAATTTTGTGAATAGAGAATTATTTTACTTTAACAAAATGTTTAGACTGCTGTCCAACCTAGTGAGACTGCCTAATGTTTGTGGCAGTAAACATCCATTCTGTTTACGTTTTTGATTTAGAAAAGCAGCATACGTGAATGGGCTGCCTTACCAAGGAATCGGGCTTGCGGCTAGTTGGCCAACATGGCGAAGCTGTACAATTTTTCGTACGGCATAAATAGTGGCCGACCGCAGCCCTCGATGTTTCAAAACGCATTGCTGGTACAAGCAATGAAGACGCATTTAGTGTTGAGAGAATCAATATGAATTCCCGAAAAAAATCGGGAAGTGGAGACGAAACGCAAAGGAAAACGTGTGAAAGAAGAGCAAATGAAAGATATTGTCTTTTATTGCCTTGTATTCTGGATTTTCTATATATTATTTTATGAGTTCCACTTTTAATTCTGATTAATTTGTTGCATTATTATTTTACTGAATTGTGTGCATTTTTTCATAATTTGTTCTTGTATTTTAAATGTATTAATTTGTTGTTGTCGTTGTAAATATGTGTTTGTAATGGAATAATTGAAGCTAATAAATTTATGATTGCTGACTTATTTTCTCATGCAACAATGCCATATTATTTAGAAGACTAGTTTGCGTAATTGCAAAGCGTACTTTCTATTTCGCACCTAACAAAGAGTATTGTTTCAAAGATGCAAAGAGATTTATCCAGAAAGTGAGGCTTTTTTGTAAACATTTTGAAGTACTAGTATTTACGCGCTTTATTTTTATGTTATTCAACTTCTTTAGACGCACAATGGTCAGTTGACCCAGTTAATAGACAAAATCAAATATGATGGATTAACTGAAAGTTTTCGGAATTACTTGCGTCGATTTTATCACGAATTTATATTGATTACTAAGAATTCAATATTTACGTGTGGTAAAGGATCATTTATTTCCGAACTGGCATATATATCTACCTCACAAAATTTTTGTCTTGTTTGGGAATAAAATCAGAGCGTAAACTGCATTAATGTTGTTGCATCAAGAACATGAAACTTAAAGATATTACACTTAGTTGTTCATCTCCTTACAAGTTTTCACTTCTCTGGAAAACATATTCGGTGAGGCCTATCGCGAAGGTTCACGAAAGGCTCAAGCTGTGCCATGGCATAGTGTTGCAGTCAAACACGCATTTATGACATATTTGTCTTTCATTTTTGAAAAACAATACTGCTGTGAATTTTCACGTACTTATATCCCGAAAGGCTATTTTCGCTTGGTGTTCATTTTTTATGTACGTGTTGATGATCAATTTGTTCATGCTTGAAGACAATAATATATGCATTAATCACTTTTATAAGCACTTCAGTAATATGTGCAAACGAAAAATTGAAACTGACCTTATTAGTTATACCTGCTCCACGATATTTGATATCAACAACAGTTATTTAGTTATTTATTATTAACTAATTAATAATTAATTAGTAAATTATTTTAATGTGACAGATACACATCTGTTAATATCTGAAAGAAAATATTTAAAAATTTTATTAAAATCTAAATAATTAAAGATTCGCAATGAGATATATGTTGTTATCTTGCAAACACAAATTGAAACATCTGAATTGAATTCTCCAATACAATTTCTTTTTTGATATTTTTAAAATACAGTAATTTGTTGAAATTGTAGTAGCAGTAAATTAATTTCTATCTTAGTCAGTTTAAATCTTATCCTCTAATTTTTTCATCATAGTATTAAAATTAGCCTTTTCTTATGAATTATCAGTAGAGATAATAATGTTTTGTTTAAAATTAAAAAATTGTATTCCATAAACTGTAACACCATTTAATACTTTATCTTACCATATTTTTAACAACAACATAAAAAAAAGCATAACATGCAAAGTTACAGTATTTGTTCCATTACAATAATCTTTATCATTACAAAAGCAATGAGTTATTTCGCCATTTAATTTGACCAAATTGCCTGGAATGGTCACTAAGTCAGAAGTTGCGCAACCGTGTCCGTTTCCAAACAAATTAATATCAGAGCATGCTTTGTGAATAGCGAACAAATCTGCAATTGAAGGTCAAATTTTGGTATGAAAAGAAAGTTAAATGAAAATTGAATTATATCTATTATACAAACTGTATTTCTTTCTTCAGACATATTCAATCTTACAAAAGATATCTGCAATTGATTTCAAATAACTTCTGATATCATATTTACCATGAAATTGTATCAAAGTTTTTAAGCAATATTTTTTGTTACATTGCTCTTCATTACGATTACAGTTTTCTTCTAATGAATTACATTTGTAGCACAATCGATCAGTACTGCTTCCCGCTATAAAATGGTAAATAGTATAAGTAAAATTAAAATCAACTCTAATATGTTAATATAATGCATTCGCTTTCACCATTAAAGTTTCACTAAATATATTGAACTGAAGATTCTAGCATATTTTGTGCTAATTGATTGAAGTAGTAATTACTTATTTTTATTTCCTACTACTATGAATATGACTTACGGAAACATTAAGAATGAAAATTTTTGAGTTGAATAATTCTTTTTTTCACAAAGTTTTTACATGCCAAACAGTCAAAAAAATTTGAGTTTTGCATTATTTTTCTTTGAAATACTAAAAAAAATATTTAAATAGTTTTGGCTTTTAGTCTATTATTCTAATATTAGCATATTAATGAACTTTTCTAGAAAATAAATTTCAAGCCAAATTTTTAAATAAAATTAACAGTAATTTGGGCCAGTACAGGTAGTTGCTGTTGAAAAATCTTTCACTTTTGTGTTGCATGTATCGCTGAAAAAAATCAGTGTTAATAATATGGTTAAAATCCGTTTTGAAAACAAAATCGTATCAGACATTCTAATTAGTACATTAACTTTGTATGACTGTCTGTAAAGAATAAACCTGAAATACGTTATTATTACTTTGATACTTATTAGAAATAAAAAGATTTATCATTAGCAGTTACTGTTCGGAAAGCAAAAAAACTGGCAAGTACCAACCCAGAGCAAAATTCTACTAATGCTTTTACATAAACAGTATTTCCCTGGGAATCAACGCGTTCTAAATCCTTGTCATATTCACAGTATGATACATCTGATGTCTGATCATCTACTGCACTGTTTGCATTGTTTTGTAATCCAAGCAATCGTGGCTGGCAGCCTCTTACAACCATTAATTCTTTAATTATGAAAATTTACTCATATTAGTATTATTTAATATAACAAAAGGCTTTTTAAACAAAATTATCACAAATTAATAAAATGCAAATGTTCTTAAATTACGGACCTATCTCACCACTACTAGTTAAATCTGGATCTTGAAACAAGTAACTCATGCAGTATCCTGAACATGTTACGTAATGGTCTGTATCAGAACCCGAAGCACAAGTTGCCGTAAAAGATTGATCACGGAATGTTTGCGTAAAACCTGTTAATCCCCATCGACCTTTCAAATTTGTCGATGCACACTATAATTAATATTTATATATTTAAAGTATGAATTTTCCTGCCGAAGCAAATAGAAATAACAATGAAATTAAAAAATTTTGTACTGGGACCACTTTTGTAAAAAAGTTAAATTTTCGACAAAAATCTTACAAAACTTATATGAAAACCTAAAGTGTTTGCTTAATTTTTATCATTTTAAAGTTACAAGGAATTTGAAAACAAGGTAATATAAGAATATTAATTAACATTCATAAAAGTGAGCAGCTTACTTCCATACATTTGTTATCCGCTTTTACTTTTAGAAACTGAGCCAGTATCAAGTACAAAATACATAAATCCATAAGTGCTTGCATTTTTTTAACTTTGTAATCTAAAAGAGCTGAAAGTTCTAAGGTAAAAGTGAATGCATTTTATTAAGAATTAAATACCAATTTTGCGTCGTTAAATTTTGAATGATTCACTATTTTCATAACAATTTACAGTTCTAACCATAAATTGTAATACTTTGCATATCTTATAAAAGTAGTCGTAAAAAATAAGATACGTAATAAATAAAAATCCATGCTTGGTATTTATACTTGAATTACTTTGCCTGTATATCTGATTCATCCGTTGAAAAATATATATTTTTAAATAAAAACTGCACTAGAAGAAAAAAGTTTTAGCAGCTATTCTAAACGATTAAAGTTATTGAAGTAACTTTCTCCCACATCAAAAAATAGAAATTGGCAAGGCTTTTAGCACTGAATTGTTCGCAAGCTATATTTAGTTAATGCAAAAACCTTATTATGCTTACATAACAGATTAATGCATAATGATCTGTGCTGATAATTTAATAAATGACTTGACCAAATATAGAATTGATATAAAATGTTAATAAAGCAGTTCCATAGTGTAATCAATTACTATATATATATATATATATATATATATATATATATATATATA